GTGACCTCATTAATAACTATGATTTTAAGGATCTGCATTGCAACTGGATGATTTCAAGTAACGAACAAGTTTTAAAACTGTAAATACACTTAAAATAAAACATATCCAATGCTACGACTTTGAAAACCTCTATACTACTTTACCACTTGAAGAAATTTATATAAGTTTACTTGCTCTTCCAGATTTATTTCCGCAAATTTCTTCAATAATAAATACCGAAAAATGGCAACTTTTTCTTTAAAGCGTGCTTTTCAATAATTTTATTCAATTTAACAATAGCATCTTTAAACAAATACAGGGAATTCCAATGGGAGGTAATTTTTCAAGTCCTGTCTGTGAATTATTCCTTTTTACAAAAGAATTTACCTTTATCCGTTCACTCAGTAAAGAAGAACATAAATTGTACCAATACATCTATCGATATATTGATAATGTCATTGCCTTTAACAACTACAACAAAATAGAAGTTGCTAATATCTACCCTACATGCTTAAAACTAAATAATACAAATACGGTGCAACATAATGTAGTCTACCTTGATTTACATATTATTGATTACAATGTATTAAAAGTTTACGACAAAAGAAGAGAATTCAATTTTTCAACACTAAAATTAACCAACTGGAATTCAAATATTTCCAAAAGAGTCATCCTAACACAATCTATTCACAGCTACTTAGAATAAAAAGAATCTGCAATACAGCAAAACACCTTCAAGAAGAAATACTATACTTCGTGACAATCTTGAAAAATAACCTAATTCCTCAAAAAATAATTAAAAATACCTTAAAAAAAGGATGGCATTAGCCTTACCAATTTTTAGATTTTTTGAGTTAGATAATGATATTTTATACTTAAAGCCCAATGGGACGGTATAAAGTGGATGGCTGATTCTGAGAATCTAATGTATAAATGTACAGATAATTCTTGTCACTACGTTTTCTTGCCTCCAAAAAATGTTGGCACCATACTTTTAATACTATTGTTTAAATAGTTTGAAATTACTTTGATGGCCAATTCTACTCCTGTTATTAACAAACGAGCCTTTTCGTTTCTTGAAGCTTGATCGCCCTCTAGTTGAAGAATTACGACTTTTATTAACAAATGACTGTTTTTTCCATTTTTCTCTTACTTTTGTGGTCATGTTAAGTAATTTTAGCTGAATTAGCCATTTTCACTTTTTGCAGCAGTTATTCTTCTTAAAACAACTTGACTGACGCCATTTTCCACGTCTTTCGACCCCGTTTAGCTTTTGGGCGGGTTCCCGCCAACGGACAGTCTTTTGACATAGGCTGTTGCCCAGTGACTTTGTTTCCACCTTCTTACGTCACACGACAAGTTGGAGAGCGTTGAAAAGCACGAAGGGGAATTACAACGTTTTTTGTTTTTGCTCCACGATAGACAAGACAGCATAGCCACAGGCCTGTTTTTGTATTTTTCTTTCACAAAAATTTTTTCTTGGTCTTAGCAAGACCCACGCTGTTAGTCTTCCTTTAAATTTAATTTCAGATTCATTTATAAAGTTTTAATTATTTAAGCTTGCAGGTCCAGGCCGTATGTTATTGTATATTTTGACTAATAGCAGACCGCTATTTATTTTTATTTTTATTTTTATTTTTATTATTGCTGTACATCGGAGTTGCATTTACATTGTTTTACACCTTAATGTGTCAATTTGTGCGGACGCGTCGGGAAATTGGAACAGAGAATTGAGACTAAAAAAAGTTTTTAAGACAGTTTATCTAATTAATTAAAAAATTTCGTAACGCAAAGTTTCAATTGTCTGTTTCGGCGAAATGCGTAATGGAGTTAGCTTGGTTCGACGTTCAACCAGAAATTTCCCTTGAAAAGCCAGGGTGGACCTCGAATTCAGCTAATTTACCATTTTCCGCTTTTTAATTTTATATGTTTTAACTTTTTTATGTTGTTTTAACTTGTTCCATCGATTGGTTTTTACTATGTTTTATTTTTTGCCTTTAACTTGTTTCCAACGATTAGTATTTTACTGTGTTTTTTAATTTACATTTTATTTCGCATGTAGCCTAAAATTTCACCTCATTCAATGTCATTGTTTTTTAAAAAAACTGTGTTGAACTTTTTCTTGGAGCCACAGCTCCTGGTAACTTTTTGGCGAGCTAACTACAATTTCTCTTCTCATTTCCTTAATTTTGCAGCATATTGCGCAATGATTTTGACCAAAATTAGTCTTTTTAGTACTGTACTTACAACCTAGCTTATAATATATACATATATTTATATACTTTTGGTGCGGCCGATTACAACCAAAATACGAGGTGCACATCTACATGTTATAGCAGTCCTATATACAAAATTTCAAATACTTTATTAAATATTTCTAAGCCACAAAACGAAAATTCGTCTTCAGTTCTCTGAAAAAAGCTATTCCTGTGTTCACAATCGTTGGTAATGACGATAATGATAAGCAGAAAACTGTAGCATGCATTATAGAACAACTTTCAAGTCTTATTGGTAAAAATGAAGGTATTCATTATTCATCACATATTTATATTTCTTCGCAATTTTATATTCTATTTGTCCCTATGTATATAAAATTTTAGAAGCAATACAAATTGTGCATGGTTCTGAAAAACCAAAAAATTTTGAAAGCAATTTTGCAGTACTTATTTTCATGTATGACTAGGTGTTATTCGTGACTGACCTACTTATGTTATAGTGTTTAAGTTAATACTCAAAGTTCAAAACTGCATAAAATGTATTACATTTACTAAGCCTATTTACTAAAGCTGTTTCAATAAACCTTTTTTACGAATCATGTAATATTTGTTATGCAATAGATCTGCTTATCAAGTGCAGGTTTTGCAACAAAATGTGAATTATTCAAAAGCGACCTAATATTTAAGAAGGAATTTATAGTAATTCATTGGAAAAAATCTTCAGTAAATGTCTTAAATTCGATAATTTAAAAGGAAACACCCTCAATTAATAGACTCATCATGTCAATATTGGAGGGGAGGGGGAATTTTAACAAGTGAAGCAGTCTCATTTCTAACTCCTCCTGCTGTCTCAACGGCTGGCGACGAAGGCGGATTGCCCACTCAATTACTCTGACTGAAAATAAAGAATCCAAACACCAAGAACGAGTTTGCTAGATAAACGAAATATGTTCGGCGTTGTTTGTACATCTGAAAGATGAACTCTATTCAAATGTCGCACAAAATGGACGCTAGTATGAGCATGCAAATCAGGTTTGCCTTATTTAAGGCAATCTCAACGATAACTAACTTAATCTCAACGATAACTAACTTTACAGAATGTATTTACATTCTGTAAAGTTAGTTATCGTTGAGATTTGATGTAGTGATACGATGTTAGTCAAGAATGACTTTAAGAACACGAAGGAGCCATTATCAACAGATCAGTGAGTTTGTGCGAGGTCGTGTATAAGGCTATGAGAAGGTAGATTTTTGTTCCACGATATTGCAGAAAGATTTGATAGGAATGTATTCACTGTACATGATTGTTGACAGCAGTGATCAAGGAAAGGTACTGGCTCAAGAAGACTGGGTTCTGGGTGGCCGCGTGGCACTACTGAGAAGGAGGATCGCTATGTTCAGTGTATGGCTGTGCTGCATCGTCCTGGATCTGCAACAGAAATTCGAGCTGCAGTTGGCACTACAATGACACAACAAATTGTAGCAAATCGGTTACTTGAAAGACAGCTTCGAGTCTGACACACTGTAGCGTGCATTCCACTGACTCCAAAACATTGCCATTCGGAACGTCAATGGTGCTAAGCTAGAGCTCATTGGACGACGGACTGGAGAACTGTTGTGTTGTTTTCTGAGAAAAGCCAATTCTGCCTTGGTGCCAATGATGGTCGTGTGTTTGTTAGAATGAGGCCAAGTGAGCACCTGCAACCAACTTGTCTGCGGCCTAGACATATTGGACCTACACCTGGAGTTATGCTCTGCAGACCAATTGCCTATGACAGCAGGAGCACTCTTGTGGTTATCCCGCGCACTCCAAATTTATACGTCAGTCTGGTGATTAAACTCGTTCTGCTGCCATTCATGAACACAGCATTCAAGGGGGTGTTTCCAACAAAATAACGGTCTCCCTCATACCACTGTTGTAACCCAACATTCTCTACAGAGTATCGACATGTTGGCTTGGCCTTTCCAGATCTTTCTCTGATCAAGCACGTATAGGGTATCATAGGACGACAAACCAGCGTCATCTACGACCAGCATTTAGCTTCACTGTGTCGACCGACCAAGTGCAACAGGCGAGGAAATCCATCCCACAAACTGACATCCGGTACCTGCATGACACAATGCATTCACATTTGCACGCTTTCATTCAAAACTCTGTCGGTTACACCGGTTATTAATGTACCAGCATTTTACATTTGAAATGACTCTTCTCAATCTTGCATTAATCTGTGATCTTGAAAATTTAATCAATTAGATATGTTACCTAGACAAATGTATTACCGAAAGTCATTACTGTACAATATTTTTTCTTGGTGTTGGAATTTTTTTCCGTCAGTGTTCTGATAAATATCATTAACTTTGAATCCATAAAATATCGTGGGAATGGAATTTCATTGCCTGGCTTTGCATTTTATTTGTATAATAGCAGGCTGTCAATGTATTTCCGAGTTTATTTCTTTAATAATAAGGTACCATGTATACAGCCTGGATATGATATACCTATACTAAAGAAGGTTGCTGCACCTTGAGATTGCAAAATTAGCGACTGTAGTGTGTTAAATTTCACATTCTGTAACAAAGTTGTCAAAATATTGCAACTAAGTCTAACAAAAAGTGTAAGCATTTTTTATCAATAACACTTTCCTTTCCCTCTAGAAAGCATTTAAAAGTACCTTTAAAGTTAATTATTGTTATCTTCGAAGCTTAAGGCAGTTCTAAAATTTTAAAGCTTAAGTAAAATATTTACAGCAAATTCTACCATACCCAACTGCAGTTTGCTACAGTGTAAATCCCTTTTGTTTCCAGGAGATAAATCTTTTAAAGAAAGTGGAAATGATGGAGAATTTGACAATGGAAGTTCAAGAAGAACTGGAGAGTGAAAGGCGAGTTAGGCGACATCTTGAGGTAAATGCAACATTCTGGATTTTAGAAGTTTCCTAATTTCTTAAAACGTTGTGAGTGAGTTAAAATGTGCTTTTCTTCCTTCTTACAATAATAATTTCTAGGAACATTGAACGGAATATTACATGATGCATCAGTAGAAACAGTGATTTATAGTTTGCAGTTAACATTTTCAGAGAATAAATTGTGCTTCTGCGAAACGAAAGTAACCGTTTCTGTTATGAATTGATTACTCCTGCCGTTATGTGACGCTCCGAGCGTCCTGTCTCTGATGTTATTCGATTACTTTACTTTCATGGAAGAATGAAGGTGTTAAGCCTGATACCGAAGGCGCTGTTATGAATTTATAGCTCCCGCCGTTAGGTGGCACTCGGAGCGTCTTGTCTCTGATGTTATTCGAGAACTTAACTTTAGTTTCATGGAAGACTGAAGGTATTACGTTATCGAATAACATCAGAAGAAGGACGCTCGGAGCGTCACCTAAAAGCGGAGCTATCGATTCATAACAGTTTCCTCCCTCTCTGTAATATTCTCTCTGAAATTACAGCCCTTACGTTGTCCTCTCTCTAAAACATTTTTAAATGATACAAGTACCAAAACATTTTTGTACTTTTCCAGTTATTATAATCAGAGCAAATTAATTCGATTATATTTTCACCAACATCTTCTTACATCCTTTGTTAATAGCCTTATGAATTGATTTTCACACGTTCTGATCTTGATGAACTGAATATAGAAAGAGAATTTATACTGTTTGTAGGATGCAAGATTTTTTATTAATCGCCTATTTATTTTCAAATTTGAATTTCAGTCAAATATTCAACTGAAACATTTAATCAAAAATTTGGCATCTAGACAAGTGCCAGTGCACCTCGAAGCGACTTTTTCAAAATTCGAATCAGATTTTTTTTTTTTTAAATTTTATCTTTTCGATTTTATTGCATCATTTTTAATAGTTTAATTCTTTTAGAAATGTGGTTTTGGCAACAGTTTTTCATTCAGTTGTATACTGGACTGCTGACTGTTGAAAATCAGCACCGTTGCCACTTGGAAAAATGAGGGAGATAATTCTGCGCAGTTTTTAAATTTAATGTTTCTCTTGGCTACTGGACGTTTGTCGAGAGAAGGCAACCGGAAGTTGGTTAATTTATTTATTAGGATAATTAATATTTATATTAAGGGATACTACTTATTTCATTGTAATTTTGTTATATTTAATACACTTTTTTAAAAATTTGTGGTGTAAGTTCTGCAGAGAAAAATTTTGCGCAATTTTTAAATTTAACCTTTGGTGTTCCCTTCAGGTACTTTTTCCATTACATTTAAAAGCCAGACGAAGGCTGGCAGCGTCGCTGCTAGTTTTTAATAAACACAAATATTCTTCATACATTTAATTTTGTGATCAGTCAAAATTTGAAACATTTTGAAATCAGTTTGTGGTTAATGATTCAGACCTTAATTGCAGAAACTTTTCCTTTGAAGGTCGAACATCTACAAACATAAAATGAAGAGAGAAATTATTTCAATCTGTCCCAAGCCAGTAAGTTGTTTAATACTTATGATCTAAAACTTTTACTTCTCTAATGTTTTTCAGGAAGATCTCAACGAAACTCGTTATTCAATCAAAACTCTTGGAGATCGACTTCAGAACGTGACCCTTCCAGTCGAAGCACAGACAGATTACGTAGAATTAGTTGTACTTTCTACCCTCGATACCATGAACATGACTTCTTTAGGAGATAATTTGCAGAAATTATACTACAAGGTGGACGGAGTAGCATACAAAAACGAAACGAGGTATTAAAATCTGAAGCTTTCTGTTTTTAAGTAGTAATGTAATAAGAATATGCAGTACTCGTAACATACTAAGAATATATAGCGTTTACAAACGATATAAAGCGCTTAGGTGCACATTTACGTGGAACTGAATTAATTAAGAATAAAATAATTGCTCCTTAGATGTTCAGTACACATTACTGATATACTGAAGCTTAAATTCAGCTGAGGCCCCGATCCAATATTTTTTAATTTTTCAGATAAATCGTAATTCGGTACTATTCGGTTTCGAGGGCCGTAAAAAATCGCCAAACTATTGTTGATGCCAATGCTGCCACAAATAATTGCGGCAACCCTAATAATTGCGGCAAGAAAGAAAGTATAATATTAGTAAATAACTATCTAAGATTGATGTTTTAATTTAGATGAAAGGTTAATTTCATATAATACTTTTTTATTATTATAATTTATATGAAAAAGGCTAAACTTGACTGAATGAAAGCATAAGAGTAAACTATTTCAGATCATTATTATAATTTATATAAAAACTGCTAAACATAACTGAATGGATACCTCATCGCTTTAATGAATCTGTCATAATTTCTTTAATTTTTCCTACCTTATGAAGTGAATTAATAGCAGTTTATTTACTATCGGAATTAGGAGTAAATCAGTGAGAGAAATTACGAGCTTTTTTTTAAAGAAACTGAGTGGATGAAGCGTTTCCAGAAATTTACAAACTTTACAGTCTTATATTAACGATATCACTCATCACATTCACAATAGAGCGAATGATTTCATGTATAAAACACATAAAATCTTCTATACGTAATACGGAGTGTGATGACAGGGTCACTCACTAGTAACCACTGAAAAAGGTTTTTTGGGACTATTCGGTTTCGACGGCCGTCAAAAATCGCCAAACTATTGTTGTTGCCAATGCTGCCAAAAATAATTGCGCCAACCCTAATAATTGCGGCAAGAAAGGAAGTATAATAGTAAATAACTATTTAAGATTGATGTTTTAATTTAGATGAAAGGTTAATTTCGTATAATACTTTTTTATTATTATATTTTATATGAAAAAGGCTAAACATGACTGAATGGAAGAGTAATAGTAAGTAACTATTTCAGATCATTATTATAATTTATATAAAAATTGCTAAACATAACTGAATGGATGCCTGAATCGCTATTTCGCTACCGACTTATCGCTAAAAGCATAATTTCATCTCTTTGGTTGTTCAAACGTAATTTTCTATAATGAATGATGCCTTTTCTTTGAAAATATTCTCGGTAAAGTGCAGAAATTTCTCACTTATTTGTTTGCCGCATTTACAAGGGTAAAAACAACTGGATTTTTGTCATACAAACTGGATTTGATACTTTTTAAGTAAAAATAGGTCGATGTGTACGTAGATAAAGTCAAGGGTGTGCACAGTGCCATTTTTGCGCAATTCTAGGATTTTTTTTTTTTTAAATTGAAAATAGGGCGATGTGTACATGGATACCGAGTATGTGCAATTCTTAAACAACGCGTCAAACGGTGGGTGATTCTGCACTTTACCCAAAATTCTATTCCAGACTTTTCCTCATGGGCAATTCCCAAATTGTTAAATCCATAGGATATTAAAAAATGGTTTAAAATAAAAAAAAAGGATTTAAAAATTAAACTGGTATTTCAATGGCGTCTTAAGAAATATAGAACTATATAAACTTACGCAATCTGAAATCAGCGCGTAGATTTGGCACGCTGTTTAAATGGGCGCGTTTGCTAGATTTGGCGCTTTTGCGCATACATTTTCGCTGCAATTTTTTACAGTCCTCAAAACGGAATAGCACCCGTAATTCTAACTCTCCGGCGTTCTTTTATTTACGTAAACCACAAATTCAGCAGAAATTGTTTTGATCTAGAAAACTGCATTTTAATAATAAAATGAAATTAAAAATTGATTCTAACTTAATGCATGCTTTTCTTTCCTCAGGAAATAAACCCTTGTAGGGAGGGTGATATTTCTAAGGGAAGAAAAGGCGCTCCACATGTCTTATTCTCCAGGAACTGCAATAAGTTTATGATAAGCGGGTAAATTTTTCTTTCCAACCCTGTCTTCCCGCGGATTCTCCATTTCTCGATCTGGCTCGACTCGGGAAATCCCCTCATCAAATCACATAGTGTTCTTTGATCTAGGTATTTGTGTACTTATGAGTTAATTGTTTTTTACTTTTAATGTGTAAAAAATTATTACTTCTCAACGCCTCTGCAAAGAAAGAGAAGGAAGCTTTAATATTACAATAACTTAGCCAAGATAATAATGTTTAATGTTTTTCCATTCATTTCTTTTTGTTTATTTGTGTACATACGAGTATATTTATATTTATAATTTCACCATCAACTGTAATGTATGGTATTGTATTTGTAATGTCATTGTCATCAGCAACTGTATCTCCCGTACCACAAGTTCTCTATGCCCTAATGATTAACGTTTCATTTAACACCGATGCCTGGCGTAAGTACGCCCTGTGGAGGTGTTCATCTCAAGACGGTTAGTCTGAAGGAGCGACACCAGTTCTGCCAATGGCGATGTGTTGGTGCTTCCCACACTTAGTCCTGTCCTGTCCTATCCTGCCGTTGAAATTAAGAAAGAAATCATAGATAAACATAAGCGTGGTGTAAGAGTGACGGAACTTTCGAAGACTTACAGCCGTTCGACATCGATGATCGGCATTATTCTGAAGAAGAAGGAAAAAAATAAGAAACTTGATGCTGCGAAGGGAGTTACCACTATATCTAAGCACTGTTCAAAACTACTAAAAGATGCAGAGAAGATGTTTTTGGTGTGGATTAACGAGAAGCAGTTACAAGGCAATTCGGTGTTGGAAGCTATCATTCGAGCTTAGGCTGAGCATCCGTGCTGGGATCTTCTCCGTAAAGCACCTGGTCCGCCGACTGAAGATGAGATTTTTAGGAATGCGGAACGGATTAACTGGATTTCCATTATTTTCAATGGGGAAGTTTGCTTCTAGATACGAGAAATTCGCTATACGAGCACAATGCTGGAACAAATGAAACTCTTATTTCGAGGTTCTACTGTAAGCTATTTAATGATTAATTATCAAACTGAAAATTTTATACTTAGCTATTTACATGTTTCAAAGTTATTTCAGTAACAAATTATACTCAGCAAAAGTGTCTTGCAGGTACCAAACCTTCAAGATTTCAAGTAAAAAATAAATGTAAACTTGAATTTTTTTTTTCCTTTGCGATGTTTATTCTTGGTTATAAATTTAATAAGCAATATTTTAAATTTGTTTAAAGTTTATTTTAATTAAAAATATATCATTTAAAAAAATCTGGCCTATTATCAGCTATTTTTAGATCGTGCATTCTGCCTGTATGCAATTTGAGTATGAGAGCACTGGTGTATACAGATTACAAATTATTAAAATACAAATTACTGCTAATAACAAATTATTAAATTGCAGAGATGGTTAACGAATTAACTGTAAATTTTCAGCTGGGCTGTAAGGGCTTTATTTCAAGATGGGGCGATAATTTTTCATGTGATAATTTTTCAAAATCACTCAGTTAACTATCGTCAGTGAATTCCGACGCACAGCAGTGTAGCATGGTATAAAAAAAATGTAAGAATTTATTACTTTCAATTTTTATTACAAATGATGTGCAGTAAGAGCTCAGTTTTATAGTGAAAATATTTATGTTAAACAGATTTTGTACAACTACACTTTTTCTATTTTATTTTTTTAAAAAAATTATTTATCTGTAGACTCCAAATTATTAATGAAAATTGAAATGAGAACGTCGATTAGAGCCTCTTTTTAGATGGTGCCCGCCTGCAGTGCAAGCCCAGCAGGCTCGCTTACCCTGGCAAATTATGCGGATTTTATATTACGCCCAAGATGGGCGTTTTCTTCATTTGCTCATAGATACACGTTTCGAGAGCATTTGGGCTAAAAATATTTAAAGACAGCATACCTTCAGAATTTCCGATACAGTCTCGCGCGTTGGAGATAAAAATGTTTTATTCCGCGCAGTGTGTTGCCACTGCTCGATTCGAAATCGTTGAATCTGTTAAATCAAAAATTCGTAAAAGTTAAAAAAAAGTGACATAGATAATAAACAATTTCGAAATTAAATATTCGGGCTTCCAGATCCCCATATTCGGGTGTAGGACTGCGTTATTCAAAATTTGATAAATCTTAGGTATTATTGTTGTTTCACAATGCGAGAAGCATATATATATATATATTCATGCAGATTCTTCATTGTTTAATTTCTTTAAATATGTAATATAGGGCGATAATATTTGGTGGCAACGATATGAAAAATGATACGTCGTTTATAGTGACTCAACGAAAAATGCCGTTTCGAGACTAAGTCCTTCTGGGTTAACGCCCCTTTGAGCTTTAAAGAAAAAGAAAGGGGGAAGAGAGAAGGAAGAGTAGAAATGTGTAAAAAAATTCTTCAGTTTAAAAAAAAAAAAAAAAAAAAACCTTTTCTGCGATTCCACATTATGACATCAAGCATGTGCTTATATTGTTTATCAGTTATTGGAATCTCCACAAAAGCTATGATTATTAAAAAAAAGTCGATATTTAGGATCCCTGTCCTCCCATACTCTCTCAAAGGGTAGTATAGTGAATGTCAGGAAAGATAATTTGGCAAAGGGGTCTAAGAATTTTAGTAACGCTATTATTACTGATAGCTAACTGTTTCATTGAGAATACTATACCATAATTGTCGATCTGAAATATATATATATATATAAATTTGTTATTTTATATCTACAGGATGTAAATACGCCCAAGGAGTTTGAAGCCCATAAGAAATATACGTTAGCTGTAAACAGACAATGACTTTTTGCCCGAAAATTCCTCTTTTCTAGATATTATGAATTAGGTGATAAGTAGCGGTAGTAATTAGTATAAGGCCAACCTTTGCTAATTATGCTTTGGGAAGAAGAGAGATTATCAACTCTATTTTGAAAGTAAAGATAATTTGC